ACTTCATTTTAAATATTGCTTTGTGTGTTGTCTGTTGTTCTGTCTGTACAGCACCTTGATTGGCCTTGTAGCTGTTTTAAGTGCTCTATAAGTAAAATGGTATGGTATGGTAATAAGGATTGGCTGTGTGTTTCCCAGTAAGTACTGGTTAACTACACATTAGCTCCTGATTCATTCCTGAGGTGTTCCCTAGTAGTTAATCATATTTTCTGTACCTTATTGTAAAGCATTACCATACATCTATAACTGATTATCTTTAAGAGATTAAATGTTCCACTGTGTTGTTTTCGTTGTTTGACCAAAATGGCTACATTTACATCATTTTTCAGCATAAAATTACTTTAATCTAAGACTCTTGCATAAAAAGCAGTGGGCAATATGTATTCCTTCAAAGAGTGGGAGGATTTTAGTCTGCTGTAAGAACTTTTCTTTTTAAAACAATGTATTTTTTTTTCCACAGGAAAAAAAACGCTCTTTTATTTAAACAGCAGAATAATTTTTTTCTTGGTAAGAAAACTACCTGACAGCAAGAAGGGGCTGCGGCGGTTGCTGCTGTCACCTGAGTTGATGACGGTTTAACTTTTTTCCAAGTCGACGGCGCGACTCTGCGTGTGACCATGGCAACCGCTGAAACCACACAGGAGCTATTTTTACTGGTATGGCTGTCTGGTTTTGGAGCGCCATCAGGTTCATTTATTCTGGTGTGATTAGGCCGGCTGAACCAACTGCCGGAGCCTTAATGTGACAACAAATGTGTCGAACAACGATCATTCTGAGTGCAAGGAAACAACAAAAGGAACGAAAAAGCATCTGAAACTAAAATAAAAGAGTGTGGAGCATCATGAAGAAAAGCAGCAGATTATTTTTGTAAAATGTCATGATGACGGCCGCGCGTCATTGTTTGTAAAACTTCTCATAAACATAATAAATCAGGCTCAATGCGATGAAAACTTAATGCTTCCATTACACTCTAATGCCCCCTGTTGAGTACATGATCTGATTACACTTTGCTACATAAATTTACATAATCATTGTAAAAAACACACTTTAATGGAGGTAACTCTTTGACTTAAACAGGCTGTTTTGATGCATTAAAACTGCATGTGTACTAAAATGACTCCTAATTAAAGCACAGATCAGCTTTATCGATGACCTCTTTTACATTAATTCCCTGCGTTGTAAATGCATTAATGATCAAACGGAGCGCTGTAAATGTTTTATGTAACTAAACCCAGAGGTGCTCATACAGTGAGGACAATTTAAAGTCTTCAACGTACCAAATGCAGGCGAGCCAGTGTGCTGCCAGTCCAAACACACACACGAGCAGCACCAGAACAGCCGCTCCGTATTCGATGTAGTGATCCAGTTTACGGGCAACCCGGCCCAGACGGAGAAGACGAACAACTTTAAGGGAGCTGAACAAACTGCTGATCCCCTGAAATAGAAGTGAAACACAAAAATGTTAGACAGAATCATTATTTAATATAAAAAATAAAAAATAAATTATAAATCTTTAGCGGAGTATTAATGTTTTGAAAAACAATAATATCAATAGGGTCATCACAGCCAACTGAATTTAAACCCATACAACAAATGCTGGTAATTCAATCAGTTTTGATGATATTTTGCTTTAATTTGCTGAAATTTGCTTTGGTATTAGCTAGGAGTCATCCACAATATTTACACTGAGCAGGAAAACTGGCAATACTGCATGAGATTGTGAAACATTATGTTTAAGTTTTGATCACAACTCATAATTTCTCAAAGTGAGATGATCGTAATCTAAAACCTTATGAAAAGCAGTGATATGCATTTGTTAAAAAGAAAAAGCCTACAGGCTTTAAATCATTTTATTGTCTCCTTCCTTTTTATTAACATGACTTTTTCATTTAGTACCGTAAATTGGTTGTGATAAAGATGCAGTTTATAAAATAAGTAAACTCAGCTAGATCAAAGTTCAGTGACTTGCATCTACAGATGTTAATTTCTTTGTTAAAAAATATATTTTTCAGACAAATAAAGGGTTTTCAAATGCAACAAATGCTGCATCTGTTTCTGCATTTACCAAAAATACGTCTGTTTTCTTCTTTATTTAGAAAATTCATTGAAGCCATTAACACAATAAAAAAGGTCTTTTGGAGAGGAGCTTTTTGAGAGACATGATCCTTCACTTTAACTTTTGTTTGAATCTGTTTAAGGAAAAAAGATTCAGCTCAGTTCATCATCGTTTGATTCAACTCTTAATGATACATCATACATGTTAGCAGACAGATCTGAGCTGTAGAGACCAGTTAGTGTAAGTACAGATAGATAGAGGGATAGACACTTTAATGATCCCAATGAAAATGAATAAAATCCACTGCTTCGACACTAAAAATATCAACTAAAACACATTACCAAGACTAAAACAACAATCTTTACTAAGATAAAATTGCAACTAACCATCATAAAAGTTATGGAAAAATCAAAGGCTGAAAATATACAACTGGGATAATAAAAGAAAAGTCAGTGCAAAGAGTGCTATAAGAATGTATAACAAGAAGTCATGATGTTGGAAATTGGGCAGAAAGATGTTTGACATTGTTTTGTTAAAATAAATGATGGACAACCAATTGAACCGTTTTACAGTACTATCACAGGATTAGGCTCTTTCATTTGGCCTGAATGTTTGCAGGTTTTTAATAAAACCACAGATGTGACGTTTTGACCACAATACACCTCTTTTTATCCTATTACTAGTTTGAGATGAGCTTTTGTTCAAAGCTGTTTACATGCACAAAATTGACCAGATTGAAATGTTTTCAGATTAAATCATCCAAATGTATCGTTTACATGGGCACAATCCGTTCACGACGAGCGTTTACATGCAGCGGGCTTTTATTCTGAACAGAAGTACTGACATAAGCAGAGTGGTAAACTCTCCTTCAAAAACCCACAGAAGAAGAAGTTCTACTTCTGGTTTACTTCCTGGATGAACGTAAACAAACCTGAGCACCCAAAATGGACGCGCGACAAGTTTTAATGACGGTGGAGACGTTACTGCATTCCTTGACTGAGCTACAGGTAATACGGATCATTTTGAGCTCTTACAGAGTTTCTAGTAGAAATGTTGTGTCGCTCACCAACCAGCTTTGCTTCCCCAACATGCTAATATTATTAGCATTAGCCAGGCGGAAATGGCATATGTCACACATGTGCAGTCAGGTCAGTTTTCATGATTGGAAAGTGAACAGATTAAGTGTTTACATGCGCACTGTTCGGATTATGAATCGGCATAAACCACCCGTCTCATTCTGATTACAAATTATTTTGGATTGAGCCAAATCAACAAGAAATAATCCGAATGGGTCGTTTATATGACACATTTTTATTCCGAATGGCCGTTTAATCCGATTACTTATGTCCATGTAAACATAGCTAAAACACGTCGGTGAGCGACAACATTTCTACTAGAAACTTTGAAAGAGCTCAAAATGATCTGTATTACCTGTAGCTCAGTCAGGGAGTGCAGTAACGTCTCCACCGTCATTAAAACTTGTCGGGGGTCCATTTTGGGAACTCAGGTTTGTTTACGTTCATCCCGGAAGTAAACCAGAAGTAGAACTTCTTCTGTTGTTTTTTGTTTTTTTAGGAGAGTTTATCACTCTACGCATTTCAGTACTTCTGTTCAGAATAAAAGCCCGCTGCGTGTAAACGCTCGTTGTGAACGGATTGTGCCCATGTAAAAGATACATTTGGATTATGCAATCTGAAAACATTTCAATCCGGTCAAATAATTTTGTGCATGTAAACATAGCTATTCTGATTACAAATTCTTTCAGATCGAGCTGAATAAACGAAAAATTATCCGAATGGGTCGTTTACATGAAGCATTTTTATTCCGAATGGCCGTTTAATCCGATTACTTATGTCCATGTAAACATACCTATAGCTAATGTCTGAGTGACAATGGTTTTCCTGGATACAGCTGAGCACATGTGGTTAAATTAATCACATAATGAATGCTTACACAGCTCCACCTTACAGTTACACAGAGAATTCCTGAAACTTGGCACCTGATTACAGTTGGGTTATCTGACATTTTGAACAGAGAATCCTATATTTGAACTAAATGATTTTCTGACGGTTTGCCGCAAACTCATGATTTAAGTCCCAGCTTTACGTCAGAACACAGAATACTGTGTTGCATCATCGTTGGGCGGCTGTGACTGAGTGGTTAGAGCAGTTGTCCTCCAATGCAAAAGTTGGGGGTTCATTTCCACCAGCAGTCACATGCTGAAGTGTCCCTGGGCAAGACACTGAACCCCTCATTGCCTCCAACGTGTGTCCCATTGGTGTATGAATGTGATAAAGCACTGAATATTCTTTGTACAGAAATAGTAGAGTGCTGTATGAGGACACTGATTGTATTGTGAAGTGCTTTGAGTATCTTGATAAGATAGAAAGGCGCTATATACATGTACAAAGTATGTATAGTCCATTTACCAATATTATTGCTGTTTCTTTAGCTGTACATTAGCTCCCCTTATCTGCTCTGTCTCAGCATCTTATTCACAAAGCAAACAGCACTAATTATATGGTACAAACACGCCCATGGAGTTCAGATGGTTTGAACAAATTATGTTCTTTTAGCGTCAGAGCGCTACAGATTTCTATTGTCCTCGCTGCACAATTTAAATATGGCCGTCCACGATAATTATACCACAAAACTTTCTTTTTTCTGTATTCACCATTTGTTAACCTCTGCATTGTCTGTTAAAATTGTCTATAATGAAATAGTTTGGTATTTTGCACCAACAACAGGAAAAGCAAAGTTTTTGACAAGTTATTTATAGATACAGTACAATCATGTCTGACGCTCGTCACTCGTCACTGACTGATAACTCTTTTTCCTGACGTGACCCTTTTTGTGAAGGCAGCTGTGCATCAGAATGATAAACATCCTCACTTTTCTTCTCTGTAATGAAAAAAACCACTTGTTCTCAAGAGGTAAACATGTGTCTGTTCGCATGTTGCAAACGGCATTGGTCTTTTAGAATGAGACACTTTTTGCCCTCTCAGGTGTTTTATTAGATAAGACAGTGTTTTCCTCTAAATGCATGCCTAATATGTCATTTCAAAGTGGAAAAACTGCGCCAGAGGGACGATGAGCGGGTGATAGCCAAGTCAGAGGTGCAAAGCTGACTTTGTGAGGGCTTCATTAGGTAGACTGATGCTCAAGACCTGAAATTGTGTCAGAAAAAAACATGCAAACCAGGCTTGAACCTGTGTCCAAGTTTTTGATTGGTGCTTTTATTAATACTCAATGCGTACACCCTCATCAGTCACCAGTTAAATTGGAGTTACCTTTAACAAAATGGTTTTACAGAAGGACACAATCTTCAATCAATCATTGTGGGTATCAAGTCTAAGAACCTGGTCTCATATTTGTGTATTTTAAAAAAACAACTTTTGATTCAGTTGACAGAAAAAAAAAGATCAAAATACTACGAGCCTGAAACAATATAGGCATCATGTATAACCAAACATTTGCCAACGTGTTGGCTGCTGATGGTGAAACAGACTTTTTTAAGGCAGGGGTGATCTGCACCTTTTTATTATTGTGGTAGACTATGTCATGAGATTACTCTACAAAACCACAAACGTCTTGGCTTTACACTCAACAAAACTACTGTCAGAAGACAACACCATCCATAAAACATCGCCACCGACACTGACTTTGTGTTTGACCTTTGTCTGCTGTCGAATACAGTGTCTGATGCACAAATCTTTTTAACACGTCTTGACGTTCTCCTCAAGAAGTTGGACTACAAATGAATGCCAACAAGACTGAAGTAATGATATATAACACTTCTGGGAAACTCCATGCACTCACATTAGACCTGATCAAACAAGTGGATGATTCCAGATGTTTCGGAGCCTGGCTGTCCTCCATTGAGAAGGGACTAGCTCAGGCTTGGTCAGCAATTGTCAAACTTGATAAAATCCGGCATTCATCACTCTCAAGGAAACTAAAGATATTGTTCTTTAAGGCAACAGTTGAAAGTGTTCTCCTGTATGGGTCAGAAATATGGTCGGCTACTGAAACACAGCACAAGGGATTAAATGGGTGTTTTACTCGTCTACTTAGACATGCCCTCAGTGGTAAATAGCAAGATAAGTTGACAAAGAAGGACCTTTAAAGAGACCTCCCACCAGTATCAGAAGTGATTAAAATCATATGACTTCATTTTGCTGGGCTTTGTTACAGAACCAAGAAGGACCGTGTCAGTTGGGTTTTATTCTGGGAACCAACTCAAAGGTCACAAAGGAAGAGGACGACCAGCAACATCCGACATCAGCCGGCTGATGGCTGGTCCAGGACTCTGTCCCTGAAATTAAATTGGCCGTGATGGATCGAAGCATATGGCAAGACATCTGGGGGGATAGAAGAAA